GTTAATAATAACCCCTCCGAGAGGCTAAATCTGTGAGGATTCATCATCAGAGGTGTCTCCAATCTCACATGATCTAGAGAGGAAGCTCTCCTCCAAAAAATCACAGCAGTGAAAAGGTTGAAAATGACAGTGCTTATCCTCCTTTGTGACTTATTCATTTTTCACCAGTAATTCAAAAATAGATAGTCACTAAGCTTACTGTCTTTCCGGATGCAACACCCAGATGAAAACTTCATCAAGTGTGCACAATGCGATGATGAGAGATATTCAAAAGAGGAATAGTCTCCCACACTTTCTATTTCTGATTCAAAAATCCCCACAGGGTGCTGAAATGAGGAGGTAAAACACACACACCCAGTGCACACTCAGACAACAACATGCAGGATGATAAGACTCAGGTGCCATTAATGCATGTTGCACAAGTGTTTCCACATCATAATGCACTGATTTTATATTCAAAGCATGACTGTCTCTGAGTCAGTTACCTGCTGTAGATGAAGCAGGGCGTGTTGTTGATCTTCCTGTCAGACTGGTATCTCCTGAAGTCCTCCCAGCCATCTTTTAGGGCTGTCAGAGACAGGATGACGAGAATCGGGATCAATGCTACCTCAGGCTGGAAGGCATTCACTACGGGGACAAAGTTCAGAATAGCCAGACCTACAAAGTAGATATTGGCCCAACGGTGAAACTGCTCATAAAGGTTCATGGGGATGAAGAGGAGGAAGGTATATTTGGTTGTTTTGATGGCATTGCCAGAGAAGTAGCGGTTGGGTTGCCTTGTCTTCTTTTGGTTTTCAAACGGCAGATTGGACACCAAGCTGCGGAGGTCCCTCTCCCGCGCCCTCTGACCTGCCAGAGCATCTCTGACCAGGGCCAGAGGGCTTCTCCACGTCATGGCTGCTCTGTTTGTTGTCCTTTTTCTCTTCTCACCAATGTTTGCTTCCCATCCTCTCAATAGTCACAGCTTCTTTGAGGTAAAAACACTAGTCTTCTCTCCTTCAGTGATTGTCTGTGAGCAGGGAAGGCCCAGTGACAGGCTAAAATAAGTGACAGCACGCCTAGTCCTCCTTGGAGTCCGCCCCTTGTATTGACAGGTGTGCTTGCATTCCTTGCATTTGGAGCTGTTCAAATCTCACAGGGAAGGGAAATAAGGCAGGTAATTAAGAGTCAGAAATTCAGCTGTGAGTGCTCCAATGACTCAGCTGATTTAAATTTTGCTGTCAGTAATCTCACTCTCAGCAGAACCACTGAACCAGTCACAACCACTGAATTAGTCCCTCACACTGCAGAATTATGAGTAAGTTTAGTCTTAAATACTTTGCACATTGATGTTGTACTTAATTAAACACCAAAAACACACAAACAGTATATCTAAGACTGCTCAGATGAGCTGATAGATATTTGCAGATCAGAAAGGTCATAAGGTTCGAAATGACAACAAAGCACTGCAAACATTTATTTATGAATATTCTGCAGAGTGTGAATGAACACAGTAGAAAGAACTTACACACCCCACAAATTGTCCTTAACCAGACTGAAGACAGTAATTAACATGACCCTTTAAAGGTGCATGTCAGAAAATCACCTTCACCTTCCTCTTATCCACAGTGGGAATCAGCTTTTATTTATTTATTTTTTACCATAATAAACACTTTAGCAGGACAGATGCCTGTAAAAATTTCATATTTATATGTTGAGGGTTACAATTTTAAAGTTGTTGATTACACAGAATTGGGTGAATTGCTATGTTTCCATGTACATGTGTGTGACAACAGAGCAGCTTCTTGCACAGATGGCATGCATGTAGGATGCATTCCACCTCCTCATGTTGACAAGGCTGTCGAACCTGTATAAACAGACCACATATGCATTGGGTTTCATTTATTGTGTTTGAATTTACTTTTCAAACATAGTCTACATGAGCTACATATACCTGGTTAGTATTTAATACACAACATAGAGAGATTATTGTTTTCAAGTGGAGATGCAGAGAGATCTATCTTTTTTTTAAGATGCTTGTCATTGCATGTAATTTATTATCAATCAAAAATGTAAATGATTTCCTGTTTTTGTCCTTGAACAGCTGAAACATTATCTCTCCTGGCAGCTCAGTGTGCTTTTCCATCAGGGGGGTGGTGTGATGTGAGTGTGCCAGACTTACCCTCTCACCTGTCCCAGTCAGCTCTAACTGGGTTTGGCTTGGCTGGCATGCCTGCTGCACAGTGGGGCAGCTGTGAGTCTTCACTGCACACAAACACAGCAACAAAACTCACTTTTGGAATCAACACACACACACACACACACACACACACACAGTTCTACAGAGCAGAGGTTTGTGCATTCCATAATTACTCCAATGACGTGGAAAAACTACAAAGTAGAAAGCATCTGCCTGTTCCTCCTCTCTCTTATGTGTCAACACTAATGCCCTATTGAAAAGAGAGAAAGCCAATTTAGCACAAACCATATGTCTATTGTGGTGAGATAATACATCTGTTACACTGAGGGTGAACAGTAATGTAGAGCTGATTTTTACAATGCATGGAGGAGCCTGAAACAAGGTTATGTCGCATTACATCAGTTTTTACACCACTTTGCCTTTTATAGATAGTTTTACACCCAGGAACCTCTCTCTCTCTCACACACACACCATCCACGTGGAGTTGTATTCAGAGCATGCTATTAAACCCTCTCTCTGTGTTACATGTTATTTTGGCCTCCATTTTCCAACTCCGTTACTGCATATTGAAAGTTATTTATCTGTCAGAGGCAGCACTAAACTATTTAACAAACTCAAAGTCTTTACTTCCTGCCAATATCCTTATTTCTAATTCATAATGTTCATCAGATATTTCCTCAGTTAAAACATCCTCACTGCATTGGCGTCTCATTGTGTTGTTGTTTCTCACCAAATCAAACATTAGGTGCACATTAGTCCCTGCTTGAACAAAACCCCCTTTTTAAATATTCAGTATTTTGCACCATAAATATTCAATGACATCCATTTAATGGCTGTAACAGTGGTGAGGTCCGGAAACAAGCAGAGGTCTGTCAGTTTTCTGAAGGGGAGGAGAACCCTGAGTGAAGTGGAAACACTGTCTATTTCTTCCTATCTTTTTGTGTAGCTGGCGCTCTGGCCCCTGCAGCTAGTGGGCCACAGTTGAGTCCACAGAATGCCTCCATATACATGGCTTTCTGCATTAATATCCCTTGAGGCTGGGGCCGGTGCTCAGACCCCAGCCTCTCTCAGTCCAGACCACCACTGTGGCCTCTTGCTCCTACTCTGATTCTCCATCCCCCAGCTGCAGCCCCCACATCTATCTGCTCTATCTGTTCTCTCACTTGCCTGCTCACTCACTCCGTGTCAGGTTTAGTCGTTCACTCTCTCATTCAGACACTTAATCAGCCATGAGCCTGGTAATCAGCCTGACATTCATACAAGACACATAAAAGCGCCTCCCGTGTACTCTGTTACTGAAGTGAGAGACTGAATTGAGCTTTAATTGAATTTAGATACATCTTCATAATTGCTGACAATCATTACACAATATATTTACAGTCATTATGAAATATTACAATTGGAATTTACAGAATCTTTGTACAAAATATGCCTGACTTCACTGCCTGGATAGTGGGGTCCTTGTTAAGTCATTTCTGGAGAACAAAACATTGACCCAAAAGTCACTGGTGTCCGGAAGTGCTTTAGTTTCAGCAACTAGATGCTT